GTGTGTTCTGTTGTGCATAGGGTTTTCAGAGGCCTGCTATTTCAGAAGTGGGTGGCCAATCCTTCTTCCTAGTCTGTCTTAATCTGAATGTTCAGGTTTAGAGAAGTATCTGACAGACAGGCAAAATTCTAGTAAATTTGGCATTTAATTTAAATTTTATATGAGTGTTTGTCTGTGACACTGATGTGTCAAATGCATTAATGGTTGGCTACCCAATGTGGACAGAAAGTGCGGTGGTGCTCCCCAGTTAAAGCAAGCTTGGAAGAAGGAGTGGCATCCTCTTCCATAATAGCTTGCCTCCGGAAACCCTATGAACCTGGAGAGAGGATGAAAGGCACCCAGATGTTGAGGACTCTCCTTCATGGAGTCGCTGTGAGTCGCCTGCGACTCGATGGCACTTAACAACAGTAATATCAACGTAGAGAGAGATCAGATGGCCCACTGGACAGAAAGCGATGCTACGAAGCCAAAGGTGGGTGACTTTTAATCCGCAGGACTTGGGCCTGTCTTTTCCTTGGTTTTTGTTCAGACATTCCTCTAGGTCATATAGCTCTGGTGTACCAGTTGCCGTCCTGCGGTCACTTATGGTTGCCGTGAGGCTGAACAATGTGACACTGATGTGTCAAATGCGTTAATGGTTGGCTACCCAATGTGGACAGAGAATGGGGTGGAGCTCCCCAGTTAAAACAAGGCTTGGAAGGAGGAGTGGCATCCACTTCCATAATAGCTTGCCTCCGGAAACCCTATGAACCTGGAGAGGATGAAAGGTACCCAAGCGTTGAGGACTCTCCTTCATAGGGTCACTATGAGTCGCCTGCAACTCGGTGGCACTTAACAACAACAACAAAAACAACAACATGAGTGTTTATGAGTAGCCAACTTGGAGCTTTGGTTAAAATAACTTAGACAGTAAGGTTTAAAGTCATTCACATTTACTATTGTTGCTGCCATAGTTGTCATTACTGTTAGTGGGTCACAGTGGTCCTCACCCATGACTATCTCTCATGCAAAGAGTAGAATTGCTCCATGGTATTTTTTTTCCAAAGCATATTCCCAGCCTTTTCTTCCAAGATGCCCCTGGGTGGGTTTGGACTGTCAAAACTTTTGACCTGTAGTCGAGTGCTTGACGCTTGATAGAATCTTACCCTGAGGAACATAGTCATAGTAAAGAATTGTTAGGGAGTAGGAAGAGAAGGAAACAAGCAGAGACTTCAGCTAAATGGAAAGAATCCAAGTTTTTATGAGAAACTGAAATATGAAACTTTTGTTTTAATAAAAATTACATCTTGCTTCCATAATTGTTGGATAGCTTAAAGATCAGTGAAGAGAAATGTCTGCAGTGTATTGTTATGTGCCATCAAGTTGGAGCTGGCTCGTAGCTGACCCTTCAGTGAGTTTTCAGAGGCTGTAAATTGCATGGAGAGAATTTGCCCATCTTCCTCTTGTGGAACAGCTGGTGGATCTGATTGCAGATTGGCAGCACAACCCTTACCTGCTAGGCCACCAGCGCTCCCCATTTTATTTGTTATTACTCATTAATTTATTCTATTATCGAGTAATTTTATGATATGTCAATTACTGAATAAACTTGGCATTGTCATATTGAAGGAAAACATCATTTTAACCATGTAATTTGTGGAAATTTTACAAGTGAGAAATATTATAGGAAGGATATATGTTTTCTATTGCTTTTATAGAATGTTTTATGTTGAATGTTTTAAGAAATGTCATAATTAATAAAGGTTTTTGTTTTCAGTTAGTAATTAAAAAAATTACCTTCCCCCCCCCCCTTTTTTTTTCTTTTCATGAAAGTGTAGTCATTTGTCCTAAGTGCCGACTGGATTTTACCCTGACATTAATTATAATTTCTTCAGAAGAACAGCTAAAGCAGAATATCACCTCTCATTCTTTTGAACATGTTAACTAGATGAGAACATAGTAGATTTATATTCCTTGATCTTCATTCTTGTCCAAAATCAGAGAGTGTAGTATTTTCATTATACAAAGATTGCTAGAAGCCTTTTATATATGCTTATTTTGTTTTGTATCGTATTGTGAGGTGTTTTTTCCCTCTGCTGTGGTTTAGTTCTGTGAATTTCCGTCACTGTGTTTGGTGGCTCATGTCTAGTAAATGATTGCTGTTGTTATTGTTATTTTCAAACAGAGGTTAATTGAGCTAAGATTAGGGAGTTACTCTTATTATAAGAATAAAGATTGTGCATTATAGCATTGTTAGCATTGTTAGTACTCTTAGCCTTCCTTAGATTGTGTAACTGTTTAATGTTCCTAAGTTTATTTGCTTACCTGAACTTTATAAGCACGTATATGTCTAGGACCTTGCATCATACAGCACATATTATAAGCTCACTGTCATCTTAACTCTTCCTATCTGTGCTCTTATTTTATCAGTTTACTTCGTTAAACCTTATCTTTCCCAAATGTTTTTCTTTTTTAGTACTCTTTGAAATTGGAGAAAGGAGATTATACAATTCGACTACAAATTCGTCATGAGCAAATCAGTGATTTGGAACGTCTTAAAGATCTTCCATTTATTGTTTCTCATAGGTTGTCTAATACCTTGAGCTTAGATATTCATGAAAATCATAGCCTTGCACTCCTAGGAAAGAAGAAGTCAAGCAATTTGACATTACCACCTAAATATAACCAGCCGTTCTTTGTTACTTCCTTACCTGATGACAAGTAAGTGATACAGTTCTTAATACATAATGCCAATTTCATACCCTGTACTCTTTAGGTAACTAATTACATTAGTCTGAACTTTTATGGAATATTTTGCCATTGTTTTTTATTTAGGTTGAGGTTATTTCTCCTTTTGATTTTGAAATCATATTCAGAATTATTTTAGATTGGGATTCTTTTTATTTTGTTACTCTTTATTATTTGTGTGAATTTTTTTTTCTTCCCCTCCCTTTTTCTTTTAAATTTTCTCAATAGGATACCTAAAGGAGCAGGACCTGGGTGCTACCTTGCAGGATCCTTAACATTGTCAAAGACTGAACTTGGGAAAAAAGCTGTAAGTATTACTTTTTTCCCACTGGGATTAGCCTATTCCAAAATTTCTATTTCTTTAAAGATGGGCATTAAATACAGAGTGAGTCAAATAAAATATATACTTGGATGAAAAATATTTAGTGTTTTTGAAAGTCACTAGTAAAAGTTCATTATTATTTGGTTGGTTGTGTTATAAAATGTATCTTATTTTAATATATGTAGTAGTCTCTCAAGTGTAAGTACCCTGGCCAACCACCTGTTCTACTTTTCATAGCTAATACAATTGATCTTTCTGAGAAAAATGGTCTTTGGTATATATGTAGATGCAAATCAGACTTGATGGAAGTATATGATATATTCAGAATTAAAGCATTTTATAGGATTTTGGCCAATATAATATTTTGAATACCAAATTTTGCATTCCTTCTTAGATACATAATAATGATATACAGTGTTATATATTTATATAGACGTTTTTAAAATTTTGCATTTTAAATTTTCTCAATAGGATACCTAAAGGAGCAGGACCTGGGTGCTACCTTGCAGGACAATGCATTTTGTATTTTAGTTTTAAAATTATACTTTGTTAAAAACATGGTTCTGTTCTATTTTGAAGAGAAATAGTACTTTTTTAGTAGATACCTGCTTTAATTTTTTTATTTACATTTTTATTCTTGTATCATCAAAAGGAAGAAGTCTTATATATCTTAAAAATTGCATTTATTTCTTTCTACTATTGAACCAAAATTCATTTATTCACTGTCAATAGAACATGAGAATTTTGAAGGCTTAAAAGTTGTTTTTTGATATTTCTTGAATATTGTTACCATTTATGCTATTTACATGTACATACTTTTTTTAATAATTTGAAGTAAATCAGTAGTTAATGATATTGCAAATCACAGATGCATGAATTTAAGAAATCCTAGTTCTACACATTGTGTTTATGGGGAACATAGCTACCAGTCTGGGATTTTTTTCACCTAGATCACTTTTGTAAGGAGTTCACATTCTTGTGAAGAGTATAGTAGAATGATATTAAAAGTGCTTTAACAGACAATTCAGAAATAGGTACTACTTCCTTGACTACATTCTTCCAAAGGCAATTGTGAAACTATAGCTTCTATTTTTCATAATAAGGTTTCTTCAGAGTTTTCCCAGTTAATTTCCATCTAGTTGCTTATTTAATCATGTTTAAGCAATTTCAATTTCTTATTAATTCTGTTTTAAAAGTCAATATAATTGTATTTTATTTTACTATGACTTTCACACTGCTTTATGCCTTTTGTGTGTGTCTGATTTTTGTGGCATCTTTTTAAAATCATACCCTATAGAGTATTGGCTAAACGTAAGGTTTTCTAATCTTGATAATTAAAAATTTTTGAAAATGGTTTTGATAATTAGTGTTTTGTTCTAATACAGTCTTTAAATAGAAATTTGAATAGCATTTACCATTACAAATAAAATTCTATTTTTTAAAAATTGAAAATGGCAGTGTTACTTTCCCCAAAAGCATGCCATTTTGATTTGTAGACTTGACCCTTCTAAGTACTGTGACACATGCACATGGAACTTAAAAAGAAAGAAACTTGTAGACAGAGGTGGTGTCTCCACCCTGTGTAGATTTTGCATGTCTTCTTACAGTGTGTCGTTCTAACTCCCAGGGGCAGTCTGCAGCAAAACGACAAGGAAAATTTAAAAAGGTACTTATTGTCAGTTCTTTAAAAACATGTGCTAAAACCTTATCTACATATTAGTTAAACTTCTTTCTGTCACTGTTATAAATCTAAAGAAAAATTCTTCCCCTAGCTTGCTTTCTTTAAATTTTGCACCTTAGTGATATTTAGCCACACTCACAATCAGTGTTGATATACTACATTTCTCTTTTTTATTCCTGTCCATAAATTGCTAGAACCCTTGTTTTACATGTACATAGAAAATATTTTAATACTGTTAGTTTCTTAATTAAAATAGGATACCAAATAGTAGTAATTGGAATTTCGCAAATCTCATATGCTTTATAAATATAGATATGATTGTTTAGCTCTGTAGGCCAGGGCACTTGTTATTGTTAAAGTCTGAATACATTCTTATATTTTATTATTATATCAGTGAAGTGTTGCAGCTTTTGTATTGGTAATTTTTCCTCACCTTGCAGCTTGTAGTTTTGAGAAGGTGGAGGTAAAAGCACTAATGAACCTAGAATCAAAAATAATGGCTGCAGAATAAAAATTACAGTATATAGTAAATCTGTGAACAGATTTTAAAACTATAGCTAGTAAGTTGTTTATAAGACTTTTCTGAAAATTATGAGGCTGCTCTTTACTGATGATAGAGCTAGATATATCTCGAAAAATCTACCCCAGATTTAGAAAAAGTGACGCACATTTCTATTTAAAGAGAGCTCTGATGGCTCTGATGGTTCAGAAGCTGTGTTGCAATCCCGAAGGCATGTGGTTCGAATCTACCAGCTGTTCCATGGGGCAAAGGTGGACAGTCTCCTTTCATGCATTTAACTGCCTCTGAAAACCTGCTGGAGGGTCATCTATGGGTCGGTTCCTACTTGATGTATACAGCAACAACAACTGGTGAAGAGCTGCAGACATCATCCTTCAGTGCTTTTTTTTTTTTTTGCATTTAGGCAGAAATTGTTTTCATGAAAATGAAAGAATTTGTAGTTTTAGATAAAGAATAAACTTTTCTTAGTTCATAATTAGGTAAGACTTAGGATAGTTTTAAAATAGGTCTAATATTTGAGTTTTGGTGTTTTTTTAATGGAAGTGTCTGTAGGTTTAGAAATGATAAATACTTTGTTCAAATAGAATACATTACTACGAATTATCTTTTCATGTAAGATTTCTCAGCTGAGTATATTAATCCATATAGGTGAGCAATGTAAATTTATTTAATGGAACATGGCTAGCATAAAAAATAAAATGTTAATTCATCAGACTCTTAAAACTAATTTAATTTTAACTGGATAAATTATGTATTCTGCATTGAAGCCGCTGAGGGAGAGAATAGTTTAAAAGCACTATATTATAGGGTATTACGATTATCATAAGAGCCCAGAATGAGGGTTGCGGAGTGGAGTATACTCGGGGTAGGGGTGTGGGGGGATTGTATACCAATGAGTATTTTCTTTTGCTTTTCAAGGAGAAGAGTGAACTGGGGGTGTGGGTAGGTTGGGCAGGAAGAAAAGTGCAACAATGAATGAATGGAAATCCAAAATCTCTGTAAATGTTCATTGAAATTAATTTTTTTAAAAAACAAATTTAAGTGTGTGTATGTGTGTGTGTGTGTGTGTGTGTGTGTGTGTGTGTATGGTGGCTTGGTTTTAAGGAATTTCACAGCCAACCCCAAATCCACAGTCAGGCAGTTTGACTGTGCCAGCTACTCCACAAGAAAATATGAACAGTTTCTTCTCCTACGAATTAAAGCCTCTGAAAACCCACTATAGGGTCAGTTATTAATCTATTCTGACTTGATGGTATATACAACAGCATACATGTACATATGTCCTAAGTTGTGGAAAAGGTAATTTTAAAGCCACTGCTCTGGATAATTAAGAGATGGTGTACTGAAAGCCTAATAAAAATAAAAGGCGTGTATCATGAAAC